CACCCCCATCACCTTAAATCTATGAAATTAGAATCCGGTGTTCCAGGATAGGTACAAAAGGTTAGGGAGTAAGCAGTTGTAACCTGTCTTGTTTAAACCTCAGACATCTAGGGTCTGGTGTACTCTTTGCTATTGACATGTGTGGTGTCATCAGGACAAGGTTTAATGGAGATCCTAAGGCCCTCAGAAGGAAAGTTGCTGATGCCTATGAATCTGGCAAGGGATTCAAAAAGATTGGCAAAATATTTTAAATCATTCACTGTAAGAAAAGCAATCTACAAGTATCATAGATTTGAAACAACCGCTAATTTGTCCAGGACTGGACGGCTCAACATAGTCAAACCAAGAGCTGACTAATGCTAAAAGAAGCAACCCAAAATGTCATCCCTGGGTGTTCAGGTAACTTATGCTGCAGTTGGGGTCAAAGTGCATGGATCTACAATCGGAGAGAGATTGCATCCATTGCATGTTAACACGACACTCATGCAGGGTGAAACGATGCAATCTCTTCCTGATCTATGCACTTTGACCCCAACTGCAGTAGAAGTTACCTGGACACCCAGGGGTGGCCTTCAAAAACATTAGAGCAAGATTATAGTTTTCCACTGAACATTTAGACAAAGACCAGGCCCTCAATGTGCTGAAGACTGAACAAAGTTAAGGTGCAAATACACTAGGCGATTATCGTACGATAATCGCGGGTGATCCCGCGATCGTACGATAATCGGCAGGTGTATGGGCAGCGTGCGACCGCTTCTACTGTAAGCGCTGGCTCACACCTGGGCGTTTTTCAGGGCTGATCGAAGCGCTGAAAAACGCTCAGCAAGGAAAGTCCCATAATTCCCTATGGGCATGGTTCCCACCTGGGCGTAAACGCGCTGAAAACGCACAAGCCCAAACAAGTACAGGAGCTTCCTTTGGGGCGTTTTTCCGCGCGCATCCATTGGTATTCGCGAGTGTGGCTCGGGGTTAACAAAGCGGTAACCCCGAGCCACACCTCGGGAATACAGCGTAGGACTTACCTTGTCCGCGATCCCCGCTGGGTCCTCCGGCCACTGCCATCTTCCAGGTTCCGTCCCTTGCGAGCGGCCGCGTCGCAGGGGGGTGGAACCGGCGGGAAGTTTGGAAGTTAAAAAAAAAAAAAACACGAAAAAAAGAAAATAAAAAAAAGGGGAAACTAAAAAGGGGAAAAAAGAAAATAAAAACTCATACCGCCATGTACGATCTGTCTGTCCAAGATGGGCAGATCGTACGAAATATTAATGACCTTACAACCATCGCACAACGAAAGTCGTGCGATGGTTGTAAGGTGTATGGCCACCTTTAGAGTTGTCTGGTGACAGTAGACATATATGCTGCAAACTGAAGACAGCATTTCAGAAGAACCTCATAACTGTAAAGCATGATGGTGGAAATGTTATGGTTTGGGATTGCTTTGCTGCTTCAGGGCCTGGGCAGCTTGCAGCTGAGTCAGTTCTACATGAAGCTGAAGCAGAAATGATTCTTTCAACATGATACCAAGCACACAGAGGGTTATGGACTGCCTTAGTCAAAGCCCTAATTTGATTCCCATTGAAATATTGCTGGACAGATTGTGAAATGAGCAGTTCATGCAAGGAAACCCACCAACATCTGGCAACTGAAGGAATTTTGCATTGAGAAGTGTTCAGAAAGTCGATGTCAGAGACTGGTGGGCAATTATACAAAATGCCTACATTTCTGCTAGAGAAATACCAGCTTTTGATGCTAAGGGTTAACTTACCCTTTCCACGGTACACCATTACACTTATTGAGATTTTTGTTCAATAAATGAAGAACACAAGAAAAATGTGCCTTTACCATTCACGTATATCACCTTTATTTGTGGGCACTGTGTGAGTAAAGATCTAATTCTGTTCAAATCTGGTGGGGAAAAAAAAAATCAACAATTTCCATGGGATGTACCTAAGGTAGAACTCCAGGATTTTGAAAAGTTAACCCCTGCAATGGGGCTACACCTGTAGTGCAAGGGTTAACTGCTCATTTTGGTCTATGGCACAAATAAAGTATACTTACCCGATCCTCGGTCCTGCAGCAGTGACTGCTCACCTCTCTTCCCCTCCCCTCTAGTTGTGGTATGTCCCCCGGCATCTCCACATCTGTATTGGCTGTATTGACATTTTTATTTTCCCTCCCTAGACAAAAGTTAACCTTCATAGTGCTGGGGTAGCCCCACTGCAAGGGTGAAAAGAGAACTGTGGCCAAACCTTTTTTTTGGCTGCAGTTCTCTTTAGGGTCACAGGAGGACGTTTACTAATGTCCCCCTGTGACCCAAAACTAAGCATCTATCGGGCTGTTGGAATCCACCCTACTGCCTGATTAACAGCAGATTCTGCCTCTCTAGAGAGGTGACAGTCACCGCTCTCTGCAGGGAGACGATCAGGTACTGAGCGATCAGCGGTTTGTAATCGCTCAGTTCTCAATCAATAGAGCTGACATGTGACAGCTGCAGTGTCACACCTCGGCTCTAAATATGGGGATGAGTGTATTTCACTCTCCCACTAATTCTCCTTTAACTTATCGAAATCTTGGAGTTCCACTTTTAAATGTATTTTCACTTTTGCAGCCAAACTGGGATAACACTTATTTTATATTTGTTACATGTTCCCGTTCTTGCAGTTTAAGTTTCTTTTACTTGGGTTAAGGTTTCTTGGCTTCTTAATGGTTAAAGTTTCTACTTGCTTCCTTATAACCTTAGGAGGGGTTGTGAGGGGTTTGGTCATTATAATTTGTTATGTAGATTTGAACACTGCCTATCCTAATAAAGGGTTAATGGATTACAACCCTAGCTTGTGCATTGTATGTTATGAAGATAAGAGAAACAGAATCCTCAAATTTCAGCCCTAAGTCTTTCTATAAGGACAGATCACTGTAAAAGAGTTGTTTTTTTTTGTTTAATTATTTTTCATTATACTGTGTGAATAGGAACACAAACATATAGAGAGGTTTTCTCAAATTCTGCTGCAAAAGTGGAAATACACTTTCATTTTTCACATGACTGCTTTTCCTTTAAAGTGAACCTGACATGGCGCATGTTTCAAAAGCACCTACTGTTTTCAAGTAAAGGAAACTTGGGGTGCCTGGCAGCATGTGTTATTTTTCAAATGAATGTTGGTGTCCCTGTTGAGCCCCCTGGATTCTAGGTCAAGGCCATACATGGAAACAGCACCAGGAGGGGTGACTTTTCAGAATTTGTGGCCCCATGTACAGCCTGGGCTGCAATCCAATTGGGCTCCACAGGGATCAGTGTGAAGACTAAAACCACAAGATACCTTCTCTTCAAAACACTTATCGCTCACTAGGTCAGTTTCATTTTAAAAAAGAATTCCGGGGGAAAATTAACCCTTACAGTGGTGCTACCCCTGCACTTTAAAGGTTAACTGCTCATTTCTGTCCCTGAGAAACCTTTTATACACGCCCAAACTGCCCAGCCTACTCCCTGCTTCTCCGGTCACTGAAGTGTCTCCTCCCCCACCGCACAGATGGAATGATCCTGTGTCCTCACGTCTATACACCTCTATAGAACACGATGACATGAGGATTGCTTGACTTCTGCAGAGGAGGGGGAGAGAGGCGCTAGGGGCCGGTCTAAGAACAAGCTTGCCTTTACCACCTAGACACAAACGAGCAGGTAAACCTTGCAGTGCAGGGGTAACCCCACTACAAGGGTTAATAAAAGTTTTCCCCAGAGTTCTTTAGAATTTTTGCAATGTGATGAATTATCTGCATGATTCCTGACACCTACTTACAATTGTCTAATTTCCTTTAATGTGGTTGGACTGTACCTCCAAACAGGAATGTAAAAGCCCTGAGTCAGGATCCCAAAAGATGGTTATGGTGGGAAGAATACACCCAAACCATACACAGAAATACATGGATATAGATATATATAAAAGGTCTTCTATGGAAGGAAGAGGATGATACGATTGCTTTAAATGTACAAATGTCAGCAAATCACAGCCCACTTAAGAAGCTTAAAGTGACATTAAAGTCACCTCTCCCCCGCACACCCCCCAAACCTTGCTGCTTTAAGGACTTACCTTAACTGACGCCTCTTGATCATCATCTTCTTTCCAGTAATTTTTAGGAGTCCCTCCAGCGCTGGACCCATTGATGACTGCCGTGTCTTATGTGTACCACGCTGTCTGCGTGCACGCTGCCGGGCTTCTTGCATTGACTTACACTGTGTCTCTGTTCTCCCCGCCGAACATCTCTACTGCGCATGTAGCCGCCCCATGATCCTTCACGCCCACTCGAGAATCTTCAGTCGGGAGCGAGCGACGGAGACACAGGTAAGTTTTTACCTATTTGGTAACTTTTGAATTTTGTTTATGTTTTTGCATACATCTACTGCTTGCTAGCAGTAGATAAGTGCAAAAAAACAAAACAAAAGGGTTTAATTATACTTTAAAGGATTTAAGAAAGGTGGGATGTGACCCACCGAAACTTAAATTTAAAGCAATCATATCGTCCTCTAAGTTCTCCTATGGTAGACCTTTGAGTGCCTACTGTATGTTTTTCTACATTTCTATTTGTGTGTGGAGCACCATGGCAGCTTTTTTGGATGTCGTGCTGATACCACTTTCCTATCTATATATATTTATACGCAATATTTATTACACAAGCACCGGTGTAAGTAATCACTGCCCTCTTCTGGACAGAGAGCTGTTGATACCTCTTGGTGAAATGACCGCACATTACTAATGTTAACCAAACACGCCTGACGTGACTCAGAACCTAAATCTGCTTATTCATGCCACATAAAAGGTTCTCTGCAAAGCCTGTTCAATAAAAAAAAAGTTAGCAGGAAACTAAACTTTGTCTTATGTGGTTTTGCTTGGTTAAACCCCATGCCATAACTTTGCACTACATTTGAGGCTTTATATACAAAATTAGGAGAAATCAAATGTCCTAATCATTTCTATTAATAAAACAAAATACGAGTCTGTAAAGAAAGATACCTGGATGACTTCATTCACTTCACGAATGCACTCTACCATGTGCTGTAGAATCTGCTCAGCGGTGAGGACCTCATATCGATAATCCTCATCTTCTTCCCCACCAGGACCAGGCCCGAGGACCCCTACTCCTTCTCCGCACATCCCAGGTCTTCCCGATCCACCAAGTCCATGTTCGACCCCTTCTACATCTCCAAGTTCCAAATCGTCATCATGCTCATCTGCCGCACTGTCTTCGCTGCACTCTTCGTCGTCATATTCGTAGTTGTACCCCTCGTCTGAGTCCATGATCTCAGTTGTAGAAAGATGAACCACAGAAGCCGGCTCTGGAAATGAGCTAGGCGCAACGCCGTGCGTTCGAGTCCCCTCACAGGCCACAACGCAAAGGAGCGGGCGGCATAAAGTACAATACAGAGGTGGGCTTGCTCCAAAACAGATTCTAGTCTCTTGAAAATCTACCAAGACAATGTATAAGCTGTGATCAGTGTATCTGATTGGACTAGAATACCTATGTTAATGTGATATCAGCTATAAGGCTACAACCCAAAAAAAACAAAATACACCGCAAAACTCCTACGTCTAAGGCCGAGAAAAGATGGCAGCACAAATTAAACTTTATTTCTAGAGACCAGACAGATATGTTGCTGTCAAATTTCTAAAATACTTCCACACCCAGTGAATATTTTAGTGAAAAAGAAAAAAAAAAGGCTGTACACTTCCTTGTAATTGTGGGACAATTGGAAATTGATAGGCTTCACTTTCCCACCTCGATCGCAAAGCAAATTACCAGCGGAAAAAGTCGTAAAGTTCACAAAGATTGCAGGTTAGCTATGGAACACGGCATGTGTCCATACCACTACCCAAAACAGGATTAGGGGCGACAATGTGACCATGAGGTCCTCTGTGTCAGCAGCTATCAGGATACACACTGTGTTAGTACTGTGGCCACACACATAGAGATCCTGCTGTATGACTACTTCCAATGTAATGTCAGTGTATACGGACCTGGTGGAAGGACTAGTGTAGTGTGCTGGTAGATTTCAGGTACTATGTACTACTCCCTATAGGACGTATGAATGAGGCACTACTTCCCCCCACATTACGATCTGCCGTTGACTGGAGCTGTTTGTACAGGAGGCTGTTGTGTTGTACACGGGGGATCCTGCTCTGTCGTATACTCAGTGCCTCCTATATAAGCGACAGCTCCGGTGAAGTGCGTCAGGAGCCCTGGCTCACCGGAGCTCCAGAACACAACACACGGGGGTCTTCTCCGGTGTGTCCGAACCAGACAGGCCTCAGGCCCCTGAATCACCGCCCCTTCCCAAAGCGCGCTCCCGCTCCGGTCAGCGCGCCCCCCCTCGCCGGAGTGAAGGCTTGGCTTCGGCTCCTCCTCTGCACGCTCGAGCCGCGCCGTTCCCGGTGCTCTCGGCCCCCTCAGTTGACTAACGACCCCCCCTCCCCCGGTACCGGTCTCGGGGAGACACCGCGCAGCTCCCGTCGCTGAGCCAACAAAGGGGCGGTAGCGTCACGCACGGGCACGTTAGCGCATCACCACCTGAGCGACGACGGCACGGAGCTTCCGGCGCGGCCGGCTCGCCATATTGGATGAGGAAGCCGGCATAGACGCCACCTTGAATGGGGCAGTTGGTTTAGGGAGTGAGAGGCGTGTATGAAGTGCCATGTTGGAGGTGGCAGTGTTACTAGAAGGACACGGTGCTCGGGTTGGCGGTCATGAAGAATTATTGTCATTGTGAAATTCTTACATAGTACAACCAGTAACTTAGCGACATTGTGGTTTTTGTAACAGCATGCCAGTACCTCCTGTTCTCTAGTTCCCTCATCACCTCCTCCCATGCTCACCTCTAGAGTCTTTCCCATCCTCTGAAAAACCCTAACCAAACCTGTTCAGTGCTATCTCCTTCTTTGTCTGCTTTAGATGATCCCTGGGGCTAAGTTCACACCCAGGCGTTTACAGTTTTCCTGTGTTTTTCACACATGTTTTGCATGTTTTTGCTTTTAAAAATTCTCCCTGCATACAGCTGTACAGGCGTCCAATGAGAAACAGCAACAGCCATGACCTAAGTTCCTGTTTTGGAGGAGAGTGTTTCTTACAAGATGGTGCTGCATTGTTAAGTATGGATCCCTCTACTAAGTGTGCCGTGGCAACCGTAATCATAACTATTTTAGAACTATTGGCGCTATATAAATCCTGTATAATAACAACTATGCTGATTCTCAGGAGGAGGAGAAAGCAGAGGGGTAGATTCTGGGTCCATCCAGTGATTCTCAAAAGGCAACACCGTGGCCAGTTTTGGGCAATGTACAATAAGCTACGTGGGCAAGAGGAAACATTTTTCCAATACACCGGAATACATGACAAGATCATCGAGGGGAATTGATCAAACCTGGAGCAGACAACATCTGGAGTAGCTGTGCATGGCAACCAATCAGCTTCTCTCTTTCATATTTTAAATCTTAAACTGAAGAGAGAAGCTGATTGGTTGCCATGCACAACTGCTCCAGTTTTGACAAATGCCCTTCATAGAGTATAGATTGTCTAATTAGAGTACAACCTGTATGTTGAGCCTAGTACATCTGCCCATATATACACGTTCTCAGAAATGTTCATCTGCAAGATACACAACACTTTCTACTGCAGTGGACAACTTCAGACCTCCAGCTGCAATGGAAGTGCCAGGATGCATTGCAATTAGACACTGACATAGCCACTGACCTAAACACACAGAGGTTAATGCATGCTAGGATCAGAATTGCAGGTCTGAGGAAGCCTAGCCCTATGCTAGGAAAACATGCATGCAAAATGAAAAAAAATGCTGCAATCTTACAACAAACTCTGCAATAAACAAGGAAAACATGAAACAAGAATTGACAAGCACACATTACCTTTGGCATCTTTAACTGATGTGGAAAAACCATCCCAGTCACACCATATTTGTGCACCAATGGTCCACCAAGCACTCCTGTGACTGCCCTTGCTTTTATAGTTTGCATGCTTCTGATCATAGAGGTAGACCTGGGCCTGGACCAGTCTAATGAAGTCTTCAGAAGACGTGGATGAGTGTTAAGGTCCGAAATATGCTCGGGAGATATGTACGCGCATGATTTCAATACAAGTATATGGGACCAAAACTGCACGGAATCTGCTTCAAAATAGCTCTTTCATCTTTTAGCACGACTGGCATTTTTCTACGCTGAACGCTACGGTGTGAACAGATTCTACTGACTTGCATTGAAAAGTGTGTTTTGCACGTTTTCCCACGCATAGATGGGAAAACGCGTGGGAAAAACGCTCAGATGTGAACCAGGCCTCAAAACTCATCTTTTAAAGGAGAACTCTGGGGTCAGGGCTTTTCCCCATAGTTCTCCTTTGGGTAACGGGAGGACACAAACTAGCGTCCTCCCGTTACCCTAAGCTCAGTATACCGCGAGCTACAGAGAGCCGTGACAGGATCGAGAGGTGAGCGAACGCCGGTATATGTTCGCTCACCTCCCGATCTACTGAGCCGACCTGTGACAGTCTAATTGTCACAGGTCGGCTAGAACTATGAGGTGAGTTGAAAGCACTCACCTCATAGTTCTCCTTTAAGCGAAGCCTATCCCACCTCTACCTAACAACTGAACCCTTACTTTCTCCATCAACTCATCCCTCACAGTTATAACCTTTTGTATCACTTGCCCCTCCTTTTAAATTGTAAGCTCCTATGAGCAGGACCCCCCTAACCCTCTTATCTTGAATTCTATTGCAATTGTACTGTCTCCCTATATATTGAAAAGAGCTGAGCAAATTGTTGGAGCTATATTCATTGCATATTATAATAACAGTACACCAGTAGCAGCGGCCATGTTAAACCTGGCAGAAACTAAGGGGCGCTGTTGGGAAATATAGAAAAGCAGTAAAGCTAACAGCCAGTACAGTCAGTGTTATCATTGTGCTTGACTCCACCGCTCTAAAAACCCTCAGCCTCCCATAATATGGCAGCTGTTGCTATGCCAAGTGCTGGCCCAAGGAGCCCATCTCTGCTCCATAAAAGATTTGTATAAACACAGAATAAAACTCGAGTCCCCTCGGACACGTTCCCCCCATACAGGCTTAATCATAGGGATGATTTTACAATGAAAGTAAAACTAAACTCAGGAGTTAAATCTTAAAAATGCATTCAAGTAGCTCAACTATTAACAGCAATGTAGCTTATTTGTACATCACTCAGCTGTAGATACTCAAATCATCTCTGAATTTGTACTGACACTGTCCTTCCCTCTGGAGGGTGACTACCTTTGGTCCCTGTGTGTATTGTAAAGTAGCCACCGCTCCAAGCTTGCTCCTGTGGTGGACTGTAAGAATCTGCATCCCTGCTGTCTTTTGGCAAAGATCTCTCCCCAGAGGACTCGCATGCTGCTGCAATCACTCCCAAGCAAAAGGATCTTGTGTCTTCTCTGGTGCAGTGCACATGACCTTTAAAATAGAGGATCAGTCTCGCTTTTTCTAGCTACCTGACAGGCCTTGGCTTCTACAAGCCATGCCAGTCCCTTAGGGCGTTCACTTGTCATCCCTTATTTTATTACTTTATTTATAAGGACTGGATACACACGGAACAATTTTGTAGGAAAATGGCCTTCTCCCCAAGCAGTAGACCCCACTTTCTCTCGCCTCAGCAAGATGACGATCCTTCCTATGGAGGATGCTCCTTTATTCAGGGGTCCCTCTGACAAATGCCTTGAGTCCTTTTTCCAGTCTGTGTTTGCACTCCATAGTTCTGCTATGCAGTCTGTGTTAATTTTGGCACTATTGGCTTGGACTGATAGGCCCAAATCCTATTGGCATGACCTGGCTGATGCAATAGTAAACCAACAGATGGTTGTTCCGAAATAGGCAAAATAGATGGCCCTCCTGTGATGCAGTGCTGGATGCCAGTCACTTGCTTTCCATTAGCCTCATGTCAGAACAGATGCCCAGAACACTTTGGTGAAAGTGTTGGGTGCTGGAGCAGGTTTCTCAGAAGGTCCTTCCTTGTATTTCCTTCGTGGGAAAGTGTCTTTTCAGTGCTAAGATGGACAAACTTATCAATAATGGCACCAGAGGTAAAGGTACTTAACCCCTGCAGGCTCAGACCCAAGGGGTCCAGGGCCCTTGGAGAAGCACTCCTCGGCATGAAGTTGTACCCCTACCTCTTTTTTTCAAGACGGAGGGACATGTTCTGGCTTATGCAGACAACTGGAAGTCTTGCATTTATGATGCTTGGACACAAGAGCTGGTGTCTCAGGGCTACAAAAGTGTTTATTTTCCTTCCCACTCCTTTTTTTCCTGACTTAACCTTCTGGCACCCCTACAATGCCTTGCAGATCTTCAATGGGCCCTGCAAGGTCTCTTGAGCCAAGAGGTTATCGCTCCTGTGCTTCCAAGACTTTTATTCCAACATTTTTGTGGCCCTAAACTCAAAGTGGGCATCCATACTATATTGAGTGAAAAAGGCCCTACAAGTGTTCAATCCGTGTCTACAAGTTCAGGGTGGAGTTGAAGCGTTTGGTCATTGACTCTGCATTGGGGGGG